CCGGGGGAAAGCAGCGCAGCTCACATCGAAAGCAGACGCCGTATCGGCGTCTGCATCTTTCGATGCGTGCTATGCTGCTTTTCCCCGGTGCTGCGATTTCGTGAAACTTTCACCGGATCCTCAAAGATCGGGCTACCGTTCACGTCGGGTTTCAACAGTATGTTTCGTCGAACATTTTCGATCAAGAGCGAAATATCACCCACTGCTATTTTTATGGCAGCCTGCCACCACAGCTGCCACAACGCTGTCTGCCATGGATGGACGATAGTGGCTGCACCAGCTGTACATTGGCTAGAGGTAATATATACTTCTACCAAAAAGATGGCCGCCAGTGGCCGCATATCGCGAAGCCGCCGGAGCGGGCAAACGCGATCCAGCAAATAGACATAGAGATCAGTGGCTTTCTTTCGCTGGTCGGCTACACCTTCGGACGCTGCTCTCGACGCCATCTATCAATACGAACGCCAATACACACCCCGCAGCTTGACTTGGCGTCACCGCCCGCCGTAGACCCTGGCAAATTTCATGGCCCTAATTTTTTATTTATTTTTTTTTACAGAAAGAGACTACTCTTTGTAATTTTACAAGAGAAAACCGACGTGTGAAATACATCTTTGACGAAAAGATTAGATTGCTTCGTGCAGGTACCGATTTTTATGGTCCATTTTAGACCGAGCCTGGTGACTTGCGACACCCTATAGAACGTTACAACGAATTCACCGCAGTTCTCCCCTGGTGTCTTTGACGACACTACGACATCACCTGGTGTTGATAGGACGAACCTTTGCCACTTAGAGATCTCACGGCCGCGGCGCGTGACGACATGTCCCGGCTCCCCAACACTTCTCTTGGATCGCTCCAATGAAACTTCGGCTGAGAGAACACGCACGGCCAGGAATGGCAACCGGAAAGCCTGTATTCCTCGTGGCGTCAGACAAACCGGATGACCAAATGGCCTTGGTGTTACAAGCCATGGATGTTTTGAACACTTAATTTGTGCTCAATATTAAAGTGCATTCTCTCTCTCTCGTAGACTTCCCCACTCTCCTTTGTCAGCTTTGCTACGGATCACGGTCCACAATCGGTCAGTCGTAGGACGTTACAGTGGTTACAGCAGGCAGCAGCCAAGGGTTGCGACGCCGAAACGACAGCGACGTCCATCTTCATCTGTCGGAACGTCTGGAGAAGACCGCCAGGATCGCGAAGATGATCGAGTTCTTCCTTATCAACATTCGCATAAAATTTTAATACGGATTTGCTTTGATACACACACACACACAAAAAAAAAAAGCGTAAATTGATCACGAGGTGTTATCTAACTTGAAACACGGTGCTCTATTTTAACAAAAAAATAACTTACAAAATAATAAAATAGTACAATGCCCGCGGTAAAAGTAATGCTCCCCGAATTTCTGAATCCTGTCATTGATTGCTTTCAAGAAACACGTAGAAGTTATTGAAGCAAAAGCGGCTTTTTGACGGAACTCCAAAATCCCAAAATTTTCTACGTCCATCCGTCCGTTCATTTTTCGCTAAATTTAATGGGGAAAGTGACGTCACCTGACTTTAACGTCATGTGACATATACACAAAGTAGAGAAACTGTCGTCACGTAGCCTATATGTCAATTCAGTTTCCCCGAAAAATCTAGCAGAAAATTTCACGCCTTGTGACCTAAACGCCGATTCACTTTTCCGTCGAAATTTAGAGGGGGAAATTTCCGTCATGGGACTTAAAGGGCAATTCCGCTTAATTTCAAAAATTTTGAGATAGTGGCCGATTTTGCTTTTTGAAGCACTCAAAAACAATCCCCAATCCTTTGTTTCGCGAAAAATAAAATATTTTTCGTGTCATTTTACTCTAGCCATGATCACAAACCGAAACCGAAACGGTGGCAAAGCCGTACAACATTGTATATTCGGCACCACTAAGCATGTACACCCACGTGATATACAAGGGGAAGAAGGAGCTCCCCTCTTATCAGGATCCTCCTTTGTGCCTCCTGGATTAGCACAGGCGACGCTATTTTCCTCCCAGAAGATTATTGAAGATTAACCTGTCACTCAAAATTCTTACAAAAGCAGCTTCCCTCTCCTCCTTTTACTTGGTGTTCAAAAGTATGCGATGTAAAACAAGCCGCGCTCAACGAGGCGATCGGCTTATCAGTAGTATCAATCGTCGAGCGCCGGGCCGGCCGAGCGCGTCACTCACGTCTTTCATGGCGCTGGCGCTACCCGTGCTCTCCCCGAGAAAGAAAACAAAATTGAAAAAAAAAAAGAAAAAAGCTGTACATGCTTGATGACGTCGCGGACGTGCCAGGAGAAGGAATTTGGAGGAAGCGGAAATGCAGCCGGGCAGTGTTGTCTGGCCCGCACGTCTCATCCAAAACCAGCGGATTCGTGCTTGTCAAACTTTGACAGCGATTTTAATGAACTTCTAGGCGGAATTCCGTCGTAATATTTGCCATGGGGGCTTTGTAGATGATAACAAAGAGAACTGTATAGTTTTGCACTACTGGAAAAGAAGCGGAGTTGCCCTTTAAACACCAATTCAGTATCCGACCTAATTTAGCGGGGAAATTCACGTCACGTCGCCTGCGCCATTTTAGTTTCCCCGCAAACTTTAACTGAAGAAATCGACATCACGCGACCTGATGTCACGTGACCGATACAACAATTCAGTTTCCCCGCTAAATTTAGCGGAGAAATATACGCCGCCTGACACACCAAATACCACCTCCATCCTTCTCCTCCCATCCCCCTCCCTTTCTCTACCCCTCTTTTAGGGTGTCCTCCTCTTCTGGCTCTCTTCCCCCCCCCCCCCCCCCCCCCAACCAGCCCCAACCCACCTCTCTCTCTCTCCTCATCCCCTTCTCTACTGTGCCGTTCCTCCCTTTCCCCTCTTTGGTCACGTGACTCACCAATTTAGGTTCACCGCTAAATTTGAAGGCCGACGTACAACCTCGGTTTTCTGCAGGGAAGATGATCCTCTTGGCGTTCCAAGCCAAGTTGGGGCAAGGTAAAAATTGGAGAGGATATAGGAAAGGAGGAGGCGAGCAGAGGTGGAAAGCACAAAGTTTACTTACGTCGGTCTTTAAAGGGATGGTGAACCGAAATTTGGATTTAAAAAAAAAAAAAAACAATGCAGGAGATGTAGGCGGGACGCTACAATCACTACAACACTACTCGTAAGGCGATATCTCCAATGGACGGCCGTATTTTTGGAAAAAGATGTCGAGATTGAACCAGGCCGACGAGGCACGTGACGTCAAGATACCGTGTTTCCTCCTCTCTTCGCTTCGCTCCCTCAAGGCCGCGAGGCGGAGAATACGCGAGGCCGTTCCCTCTCCTTCTCGGAGAAACATGACGTCAACATTCCTGCCAAATGCGCCTCCTTTTTTCGAAAATACGGTCATCCGTTCGAGATATCGCGGTATGAGTGATGTTTTGGTGTTTGTAGCATCCCGTTGCACGCTTTTGCCACGTGTTTTGGGAAATTCAAATTTCGGTTCAGTATCCCTTTAAAGGGATGCTGAACCGAAAGCTTGATTCCACAAAACACGGCGGTAAAAGCGTGCAACGGTATGCTACAAACACCAAAACATCACTCATACAGCGATATCTCGAACGGATGACCGTATGTTTCAAAAAAAGGCGGCGGATTCGACAGATATGTTTACGTCTTGTTTCTCCGAGGAGGCGAGGGAACGGCCTCGCATCTTCTCCACCTCGCCGCCTTGAGAGGACGAAGCGAAGAGAGGAGAAAACGAGATATGTTGACGTCACGCGCCCTGTAGGCCTCGTTTAATCTCGACCTGCTTTTCCGAAAATACGGCCGTCTATTCTGGATATCGCCTTACGAGTAGTGTTGTAGGGATTGTAGCGTCCCGCCTACAACTCCTGCATTGTTTTCTGAAATCCAAATTTCGGTTAATCATCCCTTCAACAATAAAATATGCGTGACACACCAATTCCCTTTTGCAATCTCTTTTTGCACCCTCCTAAATTGTTTTCTCCCACTCCCCATCCGCCCAGATCTGCCTCCCCTTCCCCTCTTCCTCAACACCCCCCCCCCCCCTCCCGCTTCCCTCCTCGTTAGTGCCCTCCCTAGGGATGACACTGCGCCATTCGATTCGAACCGCTGTTCGCACGTCCTTAGTAGCTGCCAATAGAGAGTTTCAATAGATTGTTTCGAAACCGCAAATACGATTCCCGATAAGCATACGATGCACGCGCAAAGACGTCAGCGGAGTATTGCTCTCGGCGGTATCGTTCGGACCGTGAGGCAAATGCAGTTGGCCTTTGCGTCCCACTGCCCCTTCAAATGTGAACTTCGTGCATTGACGTCCCCGTACTCTCTCATCTCCTCCTCTCCCTCAGCTTCTCACCGTATAGCGCTGTATCATTCATAGCCTTCGCAGTGCCAGGGAAGACATATCGGCTCTCTTTGCGTTTGACGCCGCACTATTCGTTTCGAAGCACTATTTGCACAACCCTACAAAACAAGTTGACGCTGCGGTTAGGATTAGCTCAGAGACTTGCGATTAGTGCACTAGAATGACGAAGTGGTTTTGGTCAACCTTTAGCCATGTCTCCCTTCTGGCTATGCGCCAAACGTTATCCAGACATTCCCCCCCCCCCAAAAAAAAAAACAAAGAAAAAAAAAGCAGCATCACCAACATTGGATTGAACGCGCAATCAACTACAAATCTGATTTTTTATTTTATTTTTATTTATATATATCGCCAAACAACCTTTTATGATCTTTTTTTCTTCTTCTTTTCTTTTTTTTGTTAGAACATTTGTTGGAACGAGATGGCTCGAGCGTCCGTGCACATATTCGGTGGCGCACGAGCTCTCGCGTCTGCACCTCGTTATCGCTGCTGCAGGCGAATGTTCATTCCCGTTCTAAGCACCAAGGATTCACCATTTGGAAACCAGCCCATCGTTGTTCGGCGGTTACGAACGACCGAGTACAAGGAGAACCATACGCCGACCGACTATGTCAACCTCCGCAAAACGGAAGCGCCCTCCCGGCCCTCAAGGTCTGCGGAAGCCCACCACCGTCGCCCAGCTCAGGACATACTTCAGGCATCATTCCCTGGACCTAGCGACGCCATGCTCGGCCCCGGGGGAATCTGCGAGGACGACATCGAACAAGGCGTCTCACTGCTGGGTCGTCGAGAACCTCAAGGTATGGAACAGCGTCCTGCACTCCGTCGGCGTGGAACTCCGGGAGAATGTTCCTGGCAGTTTGACGCTGCGAACGTTCGTCAACTGCAATCCAAGCGCGACCAGCTATCACACCGTCTGCGCCTTTCTCGTGGCAAGGCTCATTAACAACCACCGCTGCGTGCAGTGCGTCGATCTCGGCTACGTGGGCGAACTGTTTGGCGGCAAGAGTATGGTGCTGAGCCGGCTCCGCCCCAACGCTGGTATCCGACAGTTCGTCGTGAGCGGACGCCTCATCTGCGACGCCGAATTGAACGCGCTGGTTCGCGCTGCATTCAAGGGGGCTCCCCTGGTCCTCAGGCTCCACCAAGTTGTCTTCGGTCGCTCCGAAATTGCGGCGCTGTCCAAGGCCATCACGACCATGTCGCGACTCACTGACGTCGACCTTTGCGAGAACGGAATGAAGGGCGGTGCCACTATCGAGCTGATGGAAGCTGTCGAGATATCGGCCGTCAAGTCCCTCAAGATAGAATTTAACATGGTCGGCATTAGAGGAGCCCAACGCTTCGCCGAGTTGCTCACAAAAAACAAGACGCTGTCGAGTGTGAGCCTGTTCAAGACCAAGCTGAAGGACAAAGGCGCCGTGGCCATCGCCGGCGCCCTCGCTACGAACGACACGCTTCAGCACTTGATGATGGGCGGCAATTCGATCGGCCTCACGGGAGCCAAAGCCTTGGCCTCATCGCTCGAAGCGAACAGTTCCCTGCTTACTCTCGATCTTCGAGATAACAACTTGGGAACGTGCGGCGCCATCTCCCTCGCCAACGTGCTTCCGCGGAACCGGACCCTGCAGGAGCTGTATCTGTGCGGGAATTCGATCGGCGACGAGGGCGTCGTTGCCATTGCAGACTCTCTTGTGGCAAATCAGACGCTGCGTGCCCTCTCGATCCACGCTAACTATTTCGGTGACAACGGCGTCGCCGCGCTAGCGCGTCTTCTGTCTTCCAGTGGAACGCTCGTCAAACTCAACGCGACGTGCAAGCCTAGCCTGAACGACGCCACGCAGTTCGACGAGTTCGCAGAGGCCCTCGCGGCCAACCGGCGTCTGGAAGGCATCGAGCTGTCCCTGTGGGGCTCCACCGCGATCCAGGGACTCTCAAGGGCACTGCGGCTCAACACGACGCTGCGTCATCTCTCCGTACGAACGTGCGTGTCCGACCTTAGTCCCCTCCTTGGCTCCCTGGAGGCCAACAAGTCGATCGAGGTCCTCGAGCTGCACATCGTCCTGAGTGCGGGCGACGGCGAGGCGCTCTCGAATCTCCTGAGGAAGACTACCACCATCCGCTCGGTGATCATACCACCCAGGATGTCGAACGCCTGCCTGGTCCACCTCGTGCAGGCGCTGTCTGTAAACACGAGCGTCTGGTGGTTCCGAGTTAGCTCGTACAACATGCGAAGCAGCCTGTGCGAGGCGATGGCCGAGATGTTCTCCATCAACCGCACGCTCAACAGCTTTATCCTGGACAAGGTTTCGGCCGACGAGGCGTGCCTCCAGGGATTGGCCAACGGCCTGGAGTATAATCTGTCCTTGGTGCAGCTCGCGATCGCATACCCGGCTTCCAGCGCCGGCGGCTACAGGATCAGTTCTCTTCTGCGGAGGAACTGGTCCCTGATGAACCTGGCGATGCAGTTCGCACTCAAGCAAGTTGCAGACAAGCGGGCGGCGGAAGCCTTTCAAGTGTTCAGGCAGGGCGGACTCTTTGTCGAGGAGCTCAACAAGGTGACCAAAGCGTCGGCTCATCTTTCGGCAAAAACGCTCATTAAGGGGGCCGACAACTACATTCTCCACAATTTCCTCACTATCGCCCGTGTCGTCAAACAAAGGCTGATCTGCTCGAAGCCACGGAGGAAGAGGCACTCGACGACGTTTGACCAACTGAACACATACTGTTTGTTTGAGATTTTTTCCTACCTGAAAATGTCCGATATCAAGTGCTGATTGGGTTTATTTGTTTTTGAGGCGCGTCTAACTGGTTTGAGATTGACAAGTGCGTTTGTATTCTTTGTAACATCTTACGTAGGCCAATATCTTGATTCTATGGTTGGAAAAGGGAAATCATTTGGCCGAAGTTGTTCTAAACATTTTGGTCTTATCTTCTATTTTATACCTGTTTATGTTCCGATTTATTTCATTGATATTAAAATATGGCAAAGTCATTGATGCATTGGGAGTCCTCAGTTTTGTTTACCAACGTATTTTTTTAAAGCAATTGTTGCCGATTTTCAAGTGCTTGTGTAAAGGTGATGCAATAATAGCACGGTACATTATTCCCGGTCTACTCAACCTTCAGAATCTTTATACTTGATTAATAATTCATCCGAGCGCACACGAGACTCTCCTTATCTACGGATAATAGACCGATAACACCGCGCCAGAGGTATATCTGCTTCGACGCATTCATAAGACTTATGGTCGGCGTTGAGGCACGAAAGCAGGGTAAATGACGGAGCAGTGTCTCGGTGACACGCGGAGCGCAAGTGCCAAGTTTTACAGGACGCGTGGAGCACGCAGAAAACCGTGCTCCAGAAGCGGCTGGTGGCAGTGCGCGAGACCGCTTCTACCGCATGGTTGTCGCAGGTGCACAGAGACTAAAGTTTCCTTGATCCATCGCGACAGTGGCGGCGTAACAAAACTGGCTAGTGAGATTGGCCAATTTTTTTGGATTGAAGGGTTTTCGCACAGTTTTATCACGGGCTACCGCGCCTATAGACGCTTTCCACACGCGCCAAATTACAGCCGCCATTGCTGACCTTCTCTTGTCTTACAGAGATGCCGAGCAACTGAAACGGTAGTTGACGATCCTCTACAAAGGCCGATTCTTCAGAAAAGGACACAGTAACACTTAAAATGGCAATAACCTGGCCTGCTATGGTAATCGTGAAATGAAATAAAGGGAATAAGAGGAAAGAAAAACTGAAGGTCAGTTATGGCGGCGTCCACGCACAGCTGCTGCAAAGCGTCTATACGTAGCTTGCAAGCGTCGCCATTGCTGAGTACTGTCGGTTATTTCTACTTACTGCATGTTCCTTCGAACTAGAACTCGTGCGGTGTGTAACTAGCTCGGCGAACCGAACGCTCGTGGCGCATACAATGCAGGTATGGCCGCAAATGACGTCATATGCGAGCTATGTATGCGGAGAGCAAGTCGTCTGCTTCTTGGGCAGGGGGTTACGGTGACGTCAGAACGACGCCGAGTTCTGATTTGCTTTAATTGGAAGAAGAGTGGGGAGATTCAGTGCAAGATGCCTTATAGTCTACCCACTACTTTTTAATTATGTTTTTCGATCAGCCAACAGGGGGTATTCACTGGCGGCCATATCCGTGTTCGTTGCTGGTAAGCGGGTGCTGACGGCGAGCTTTCGCAGTCCTTTTGGGGCGTGCATTTAGCACCATCAAGGTTGCCGGTCTTAGCAGGCTATTAATGTGAGCTCGTTCTGAGCATGCGCTCTAAACATCGCCCTCAAATATGGCGTCCAGTGAATACCTCCTATATCAATTAGCTCAGCTTCCCAAAAGTGGCGCGCGGCAGGTGTCTTGAGCATTTCCACAAAAATGAATGGCGCCACTTTTCCCAGGATAGAGGGGCTTTACCGGTACCTCGCGCGTGGTGCCATCCCGCGGCTCACGATGGCACCACGCGTAGAAGTGCGTCCTGCATGAGCACGCGGAGTACGAGACGCTCTCGTGCCCCGCGCGCTCGCGCACAAAACTTCGAACGCTTCACACCGGTCCCCTGGCTTCAGCGCCAGTTTTGGCGTCATGGAGTGGCGGCACGTGGAACTATAACCCAAAAGCGCAGCGAAATCCTGGGGAAGAGAGGGGGAAACCTCCTCCTCTCTTTAGCGTTTTGTTTGCTTCCTCCTCTCCGGCCCGTCTTATCCTCACCCTTTGTTCTTGAGTTGCAACGGATTATAACTAGGGTCTGCATTTTCCGGTTTTAACCGAAAACCACCGATAAACATCCGTCGGTGACGAAAATATAAAATCGGTTAAAACCGAAAAACACCGGTGGTCTGATATTTTCGTCCTGGTTAAAACCGAAAAACACCGGTCGTTGCTAGTTTCCGACCTAGCGAAACCCTTTCCCCGTAGAGGTTCGTCAAACGTGTTATCTCGTGGATACTGCATTTTTCCAGTGTTTATACATGGCTTGCACGTGGCGTCAGTCCGCCCTCCTTTCTGGGGGTCAAAAGCGTCTAGTGAACACTGTGGAAGCTAAGCTCTCATACGCCTTTCCCCTATTGTGTCTCCCATGGCCCCCTTTGTGGAAAAATTAACACAGTGGAGGGTAGGGTCTCACGTGCCTTTTCGTCATTGTGTCTGGCCAAGTGATGTCGGTGATGTCGGTACAAGCCATGTATTCAGAGGTTGCTGTGGTTCCTCGAAGACACTGCCAACGTCCGTGTCGTACAGAAGCGTGCGTTTTCATAATTGCGAGTTGCGAACCGCAAGGAACGTGCTTCCTTGACGGCAGCACGTTCCTTGCGTGTAGATGCAAGCATGAAAGTATGCTAAGTGTGAGAAATAGTTGCTTCCTAGAGAAGAAGTGTATGAACCATGTAAATAAAATTGGAACTCTCTGTCTTTGATCAATCGCTTTTTTTTCGCCGATATTCACCGATTTTAGCCTCGTCGTGAGACGTTCCACCGAAATACACCGGTGTTTTGAAAATAAATAAACACCGAAAAACATCCGCCGATTTTTCTGACAAATAAACACCGGAAAGTACACACCCTAATTATAACCATAATTTTGCCCCATAGCACTGTACCCATAGGGTGTATTCACCGTCTTCATTTCGCCCACCATTCTGTTATGAGCATGCCTCGAGTGCAGAAGGCGAGCACTCCGAAGATTTACTTCATACCCTCGAATTGGTAGTGCACAAAAGCTAATGAATTTCATCACGCTGACATCCAACAACAAAATGGCGGATCGGCGCCATGTGAAAACGCCCTAAAGACAATAGACCGATCTCACCAAGCGCTCGGGGCATGCTTGACGCCGCCATAACTTTAGTTCGCAGGAAGCAGGCGGCGGTGGGCGAGATGACTCCACCCGCAGAGCTCTAGAGAGATTGTGGCACGTGCAGAAGGACTCAAATTCCCTCGATGCATCGCGTCAACGGTGGCGTAGGTGAACTGTCTGGTGAGATCGCTCTATTACAAGCATGGCGCTCAGGCTGGTCCCCATGCGTGCAAGCACGTGCAGCTTGCGCGTGAGCATAACTTTGGCCAGCACGGGCTTGTCCGCACGAGCAGAGACATGGCGGCTTTGTTGTGGGCACGGCAACGCTCCTGGCGCGCTGAAGAGTATGCTTCAAAGTCGCAGCGTTATTTTGTGCTAAGTTGTCAGGCTCAGGCTAATTTGCCCCAGCTACTTGCGCGTGGCTTTGTTCGGCGTCTTCGCACGAGAGAAAGTGCGAATGAGACGCAAGACGAAGCCAGGTCTTCTCGCAGCAGTGACAAACAGGCGAATCGAAAGGGTCGCTGTAACGATATTCGGTAGTTTCTAACTTACGACGAGCTTATTGGCCCAAGTATACATGTGCATAAAACACAACTGGCCAAAAGACTCCTTCGTTGCAGTGTATCTTCAAGGATAAAAAATCGTTTTTTATTTTAATCCCTCCTTCGACAAACTTGATGACGTAGCTTGGAGGTCGCAGTGTTGGCATTACACTGTAGTTGGCATATATTCTCCCAGTGACTATATTTGAATGCGGCTCATAAATATGACCCGAGCATTGCGTGAGCAATCGATTTGGGCTCGCGATAATCAAGAGCTCGTCAAGCATTCGTGTCCAAGCGCTGCAATGACGACAATAGCCCAACTCTAACAATGTCCGAAACTCACTGTGTGTCTTGTCAATTGAATTGACTCCGTAAGTGTGACGTCATGGGTCCAAACAAACCGTTGCTAGGGTCGTTGTTATGGACAAATGCGTGTGGCTAGGTGTCGCTACGAAAACCCGACCAATCAAAAAACGGAAGTAGGATTTAAACTTCTAAAAATCACAGATCTAGAAAGCTTGAATGTCATATATGTTTCGACAGAAGTGTGCCGGTAATCGCTTGTTTCTGAAATATTTACGACTGCAACTTCCGGTCCTCAGGATGCTTGCAGCAGACGACGAATGCAAGAAAAATGCCGTCTGCCACACGCCCGCCCGCCAAGCCGGCACCGGCGTCTAAATCGGGTGAATAAAGACGATATTCTGATATTGCGTTTGTTTGAAATGTGAGTTTCAGACACTTATAAGAATTCTTAGTGGAGTGCGATGCAAAATATGGTTTATCTAAAGTCCGGGCGTCGATCGAGATGATCGTCTGCTAAAATATTGCAATGCACCCGTGAGGAAAGCACTTCAGGTGATCGGTAGAAATTCTAAATTTTGTTTGCGGACTCGCGCTGTGGGAGGGTGCTTCGTACCTGGTTGTAACCATCCGTAACCATCGCATGGAGAAAGATTCTTGCAGTTTCTTCAGATTTCCGCAAAACCCCGAAATGCGAAAGAACTGGATAAAAAACATAAGGTGAGTTTATTCGCGGGTTCGATGGAGATCTTCACCGAAAGAGCACGTCCACTAAATTTAATGTATACAAAAGAAAAAAAAAAAGGCGAAATTGCGATAGACCATGCAACATTTTAATAACCTGACAATCTCGATAATAATAATAACAAACGACTTACCTCGACTGCGTACGATTCGTTTCTCATGCTGGCCTGCACTACGCCGGTAATGCACTTCAGGTCGTCGTCGTAACTGATCTGCATGACGTGGTTTGACTTTACGGAATTTTCGCCCCTCTTAACCAAACTGGATTCTCACAGAAAAAAAAAAAAAAAAAAAAAAAAAAAAACGCACATTGCGGAGGCCTCTGCGGCCATGGCGATGTACTTGCTTGTGTTGCTCGTTTACCGATGCAATTCAATGAAGACGCCCGCTGCAACAGAGGCTAGCAAATCTATCGTGTCGTCTGCTACCAAAGCAAAGCGGAGTAGAATACTTCAGAAATGGCTTCGATCGTTGCAATACGACGCTGAGATGACAAGAACATCTTCATAATTAGATATCAAGAAGTAAGGTTGCTTACAAAAAATTATTTACTTACTTATAAGCGAAAATCTAGCCTCGTGTGGAGTCTCCATGCATTAGTCC